AGGAGGGGGGGGCAGCTGCGGCTCTAGGAGGGGGGGGCAGCTGCGGCTCTCAGGGAGGGGGGGCAGCTGCGTCTCTCAGAGAGGGGGGGCAGCTGCGTCTCTCAGGGGAGCATACCGAGGCGATACGGGACGGTTAGACTTATTTTCAGAGGTGGCCCCTTGTTAATTTGAATCTGGACTCGCGTACCATTAGGTTCACCCCCCCACTGGTCTACGTTATGGTGAAATATGCATAAGACGCTATTGCATCAGGATGTAAATGGGGCAAATGGACAATGAACTACAGGCAGGCCCCGAGTTACGAACATCCGACTTACGTACGACTCGTACTTCCGAACGGATGTCCCAGGTTGTTCCACTAGTTGTAATGCTACCGTCGAGGACGAGGAGTGCCTGCCTCTTCCGGGTCTGGTACTGTACATTACAGGAAGTTGTACAAACATCTCTCCAAGTTGCATTTAAAGTATGTGCTATGTTTTGGCTGGAGTTGCACCTAAAATTTTTTACCTGTTCCAATGTACATACAAGTTCAACTTGAGAACAAACCTACAGTCCCTATCTTGTTCGTAACCCGGGGACTGCCTGTATACTATAATATTAGGATAAACAAAGAACGCCGTTTGTTACCACCGAACTTCTAGAAATTGAGAGATTTCTTTTATACACAGTGGGGGAATTTATGAATGCATTGGTGGCAAAAAAATGTGGGAGCAAAGATCAAAATGTCATGCTAACAGCAGATTTTTATCTCGTATGCATCTATTTAGGTGTTCTTGTGACATATTAATGTTTGCGACTCACTGCACATCTTTTGTGACATTTTCCAAAATATTTCAACCGCGCAGTATTTGTGTACAGCATTTGCAACAGTAAAAGACCTTCAAATAGGCACACATCCTAGGAGTGCTTCTGAGCATTTCCTAAACTATTGCAAAGATGACTCATACCCGCAAGTCAGCTGAGCACCTCAGGCTATTTAGCTGTCATCCAAGAGATTCCCAGCCAGCTTGTGACAGTTTAGAGACAGGAAAATATAGAGGCAGTTTTGAGACGATTCTCCTTATGAAGGCATTTAGGAATAGAACATAAACTAAGATAATAAACCTGTCGCTATGTGCACTAGAAGTATGGGATGCAACAGTTTGAGAGATGCTGATGATGAGACAACAGTGATAAATTCTCCCCACAGTGTATAGAATGTGAGGATGTTGAGGGCCATACTATTGCTGGAGGGCAGGAGCACCGTCAAAGCTGGCCATATCAGAGGATCAGGTGAGTATGACTGTTATCATCCTCCATAGACCAAAACGGGCAATTAAGCCTTGCATTGGAGGGGTAGCCCCAATACAAGGGTTAAAGACCTTTACACTCAAAACTCAAATCCCACCAGTGCATTCCTCTAAATATGCTGATTAATAATAACGAAGACATGTCAGGTGTAAAATGCTGTTATATTGAAATACTTACACTTACAGAGCATTCATTTCCTGCTTTCCAGTGAAAAGTAATGCTTTGTCATTGAAATTAGATCTCGTTCATAAAAATAAAAAGGCTGCGAGATCTCATGATTGACAGCATGCATTGTGGATCAGTAGTCTCGGTTTATCATATGCGCATGCGCGAGAATAGCAGCGCATCGTCAGAAGAAGGTGTGGCCGTGGTAAATAATGAATGATTTACCTTGCGGACACAAGAAGGTGGCACGGAAGGAGCGGCTTTTCCCTCTTCAAACATGGCTGCCCGCTGCATTGCGGCGCCGAAGGTTAAACATAAAAAAAGTATGTAAAAAAAGATTATAAAGCGTGTTTAATTTGTTTATAAATGGTTATGGGAATTTTTTTTTAGATATTCCATACTGCAGTGTAAAGATCCACTTTAACAATAATGTACCCCAGAGTTCTGCTTTAACCCTTTCGCTGCCAAGCCCTCCGGCACATTTTTCAAATCAGCTGGCCAAAAAAAAACACTTTTTCAAAATCACCTGGCCAAGCCATTTTTGCAATTTTTTCTTATTGATTTGATTTTCAACTGCTGGGTTGCTAGCGTTTGTAAAAGACCCCCCAAACCATATATTTTCTGAAAGCGCAGGCCCGGTAGAATAAAAAGATGGTGATACTAAATTTGTAGGCTCTGCGATAATTGCGCAAATGGGGCTACGGTGAAATCTCTGGGGTCTAAACAGACCCCTGACATTTCCCTTTTGAAATAGAAAAAGAAATTCAGGGACACCAAATCCTCAATTTCTTTTTCTGCAGCCTCAGCACTCAATGAATGGGAAGCACTCAGTACAGAGGCTCCTCCCCATTCATTC